TAAGTGCACACACCTATGGCGTATTTTATGTTGCCTGGGACAAAGTAAAATGGAAATGCAAACAACCCCCCCCCAACCCCCCCCCCAACCGTAACACCCAAACATTCTATAAAGTTTTTGAAGCAACCCCACTAAAAACACCATCGATAACTTTTTTGCCCCATCCTGAACTATATTAATATGCCATATACATGTCCCAACCCTGAAATATATTAATGGTCCATATACATGTCCCAACACTGAGCTATATTAATGTCCAATAAGAATGTCCCAACCGCCTTTTCCCATACATCTACTTTTTAAAAAAAATAAAATTGTTCATCGCTTATTATTTCCGTATATTTAAAGGATATGGTTATATTTTTAAAAAAAATTAAAAACCATACCAAAGTTCAATCTGAAACAATGTCGGGCGGTGAGACAGGCTACTGATATTAAAACACACACATACTGCCGTTAAAATTTAAAAACAAAACAAACAAACAAAAAATAGTAGAGGACATATTTCATACATTTATTTAAAATTAATGATATGCTAAATTTCTGGCAATATTGCAAAATATAGCTTGATTGGCATTTTTGCTACATCATCTATTTTTTAAGTTCCGTTTTTTCCTTAATAAATTACACATTTTTGGAGTGAAAAAGTAAAACTAATCAAATATTAAAGATACAAACATTAACTAGCGTGGTGTGTTAAAACAGCAGTAACCAAGTTAAAAAGGAAACATTAAAATTTTATTTTACAATGAAGCTGGAAAAAAACACCAGGTTCATCACCCGGTTAAAATTAAGAAAAGTTAATGCTGGCGATTAGCGGGTCAATTGAGCCATTAATATTTATTTAGATTTAATCATAAGGCCATTAGTACTGCAACATGATCTTAACTTTAGTTGAAGCAGTATAATAATTGGACAACAAACATATTCATATTTTAATTTAAGGTATAGTTAAAATAAAATATATATATTCGAGGAATAAATTCAATTATTTAATAGTAAAAAAAAAGACCAAAGTGATGGTGTGTTCTTTTAATAATTATTGCTAATTATCCTTATTAAAAAGTTAAGGCAAAAAAAATTTTACTTTCTTAAAAAAGGTCAAGTATTCAAGTATTTAACAGGTTGTTTCTCGCTAACAATTTTTAACAATTATTATTTGGCTCATTTTTGTATTGCAGATTGTTTTAAGACGTAAGTCGAGAAATAGCTTTTTTCCACATTTGCAATCATAATTAATACTAGACTAAAGAAAAAAAATACATTTAAAAATATTTGAAGAAGTTGTAGCAGTGAAAAAAATAGATCTTATATCGCTTAAAAAAAAACAAAAAACAAAAAACAAGAAGATAAATCTAGAAAAAAAAAAAAAAAAAAAAA